TGAAACTGGAAACCAGCCACTTATTTTGAAAACATTGAAATGTATATTTCACAATTTCCAACCCGTTTTTCCCCAACATTTTTTTTCAGCTCAGGCAGTTTATCAGAACTTACCCCTTCCTGCAAACACTTGCAGTTGCAAGGAGCAAATATGTTTTTACAAGGAATTATGGTTTGTGGAAAAATTCCCGACCATTTCTAATCAAGAGTGTATCCGTCTCCTCTGACTAAGCAGCTTGTATTCTACTTAAAGATCACTTGACTGTTCAGAGAAGCCAGTCAGAAACCCCAAACCATAGGAACAGGAACAGCTAAAGAAGAAACCTTGGGCCACTCAGAGAACTTCTTACAGCTCAGACTGGGATTTCTGTCCCCAGTGCCATGTGGTTGTTTGCTCCTCACTCCCAACCTCAGCTTCTCGCCATACCTGCCCTGTCCCACTCACTCTCTTTTCCCTTCCCTTCCCTCGCCATGTAGAAGACTTCCTCACAAAACCGTGCTTCCCCTTTCCAACCCTGGAGAATGAGCTGTAGAATTTGAAGGACTAGGCTGGTGGCTTGAAAGCCACAAAATGGCACCGCATGGAAGGCAGTGGATCAGCATTCACTTTGTACTGCACAACTATAATAGTATGAGTCAAAAGGCCAGGGAAGGATTCACATGAGGTAGTAGTATTAGCAGTGATATCACTGCTATTGGTATGCTTTAAAGTACCAGAAAGGTTCATCTTCCATTGAATATCACCAAAATGAGGATGGCTCTGAACACTGAGCAGGGTGCCTTTCACCTGTGACCGAGTTATGACACTTAATATATTGAAAGCAGCTTTCTGAGAAAGCTTGAAACAGAAGCCGTGTTTCTGGACTTGACTGGGACTAAATTTGTAGTCTAGACCTCCAGTCTTTCAAGCAAAATGTCAGGAGTTTTATCAAGACAGGTGGTGGACACTACAAAACTATTCCTTTGTGACAACACTTTAGGATGCACATGCAAAATCAAATAAGGACATGGAAACAATGACTCAACAGCCACAAAGGGCTTGTGGTGGCACCAACACTATTCAACCCATATGTCAAAGACTTTCCGATTACCCACTCACTCATAAAGGCTCATCTATGCAGACAGCATCTACTTTACCCAAGCTCAGTTGTCCTCTGACTTTGATGCCAGCTAGGCAACTGATATCCAATTACATTTGACCACATGTATTATATGATGAACCTTGCAATGTACCCCACTACCATGGTCACCAATGTTAAACAAAATACATCTACCTGATTAATCAGGAGTGATGTTAAGTCTTCAGCCCACCTGCAGCTTATTAGTTTTGGAGATGAGACTCATGGCCCAACATGCTAAACCAGGACAGCATGTGATAACACTTGTAGGAGGAACCCTTTTCATTAATAACAACAGACAAATTCTTTATTGCTAATTGTACCATCCGACCTTGCGGCTGCAATCTTCTCTGCTGCCCGTGGACCCATCTGACCAGGTTCCAGGTCAGCATGCAGACAGTCTTTAGAGACAGGACAAGCAAGACAGCCCAGATTGTGGCTGCCCTGCATACTACTGATGAGTGCCTTCCATCAAGCTGAGGCATTGAACACTAATGATGCAGCTGTTGGTAGGCTTCACAAGACCCACATTCACAGACAGACAGCTATCCACCCGGGGTCAGTCCTAGCCTTTTAAATTGCAAGCTGCTGGGGACAGGAACCACCTCTTACTCGGTGTTTGTACAGTGCTTAAACATAACTGGCCCAGGCTTGTTTAGCTCTTATGATCTACTGCAATAAACATGATTAATACTAATAACTTTCAGTTCCAAGATACAGATGCTATAAACATGGTAATGGAAGTCATCAAAACTGTGCAGTTTTATTTCATTTATTACTCAAAGAACAAATTAAATCATAATGTTTGTGGCAAAGTTTACATAGGGACTGCATAGTCTCTGTAGTGTCATATTCCCCTGGACACAGCTGGTATTCTTCTCCATCTTTACATGACTCCTATTGACTGGATTTTTCAGAAGCATTAATGCATGATTGCAACCACCCTATAAGGCAGGGAAGCATTTTCAGTGGAGGAATAACAAAGTAATAATGTGACTTTCTTGAGGTAGGACAGGAATCCTATAGCAAAGCAGGGCAGTGGACCTTGAGTTGGAGGCTCAGTTGTTGACCACAGCATATCATTCTTCTGCAGAAAGCTGCCAAGGCTTGTACCCTACAGGCAAGAGAGAAAGCTTCCCTTCATCTCCCAGTAGCCAATTCTGTCAAACATTTTCTGAATTCAATGAGCCCAAATCCAATCCTCAGTCTAATTTCACTGGTACATCTAGCTCATTCCATATAAGACTCAATGCTCTGTGAAGCCAATTGTGGTTGCTGTACATAGACTTTTTCCTTAGACTCATGGTGTCTATAGTACATGACATACATTGCACTGGCAATAAAAAAAGAGGGAGGCGGATTTCAGTGCTAGTATTTTTATTGAACACTTAAGCCCCGTTGTGCTCTGAGTGGTGTCCCCAGGCCAGGCAGGATTCTTCTTTCATTTCATGTGATGGCTACAAATGCGTTCTGTCATGGGGCTGCTGTATTTTACAGAACATCGTATGCTAGCATCTCTACAGCCATGCAGCTGATCTCAAACATTAGTTTTGTTCCAGAAAAGCTGCCCAGAAAGTCTAAGTCTAAATTCAAAATAAGAACTGTGGCCTGAATTCACTGCAAATCTATGGCAGCCTTGAAACTTGCTTACCTAGTTCTTTTGCCTCCAAAAATGAGTGCGTGTAGCATGCTCATTGCCTGGGTAACTGTGCACCCAGGCCACTTTTGGATTTCATCTGTTTGACTGTAGTTTTATCCTGTCAGACTGTGTATTCTTTCTCCCACTCAGTGAAGTTGAAAGCCCAGTTTCTCCACCTCTGCTTGGGGATATGGAGTCTGGTGATGCAAGAGCCTTGGCCAAATTATGTAGCAGAGAAATGCAAGAAATTCCATATGAATAAAAGAGCTGCCAATAAGAGAAGGCAACTTCAGCTAGTAGTTCCACCACTTGGATCTAGAGTGATAAGTCACAGCCAAATGGTTTAAGAGGTTCTTGGGCTACCTGCTGTTATTACTTCATGTAGTGATATGAACCTTGCCATCCTCAGCAGTGAGAATTGTTGGCAGGTATTTTTGTTAACTCTACATAGAATGGTAGATACACACACACACACACGCACACCCTCCTCTAAAACCCAGTTCCTACCTGCTTCCAGGGGGAAGTACTAATTGGCTGACTACTTTGCTCTATGCCAAGTCATCTATGTTAGGAAGCTCATGGAAGGAGGAGGAAGCCACATTCTACCCATTCACCCCTTCCCCCTCCATCCCACCTATTCACCTTCCCCTGACATAAGGGTGGGGTTATACTTGGGGAGAAAACCTGGCTATAGGTAGCTCACCAAGGTAACTGGGATTCTGGATTCCTAGTATTAGCATCTACATCCAAGGCATACTGTAGCTGCAAATATTTATACTGATCTGCCAGCCTCAGCAATAAGTTCAATTTCTTACGAAGGACTGGGGGAACAAAATGTAAACAGTCAGACTCACTAAGGATGCCAGAGCTATTTATTTCATGTAGCTAGTTGCATTGTGTGTTATCTTCATGCGGCACAAAAGGTAGAGACACTGTACAAAGCTGATTAAAATTGCCACAGCTGACAAACCAAATAACGAAACCTGTCCCCCCAGAGGCAGTCCCTAGATGTTCTCAAAGTCCTACATCCCCTATGGTTATTAAATTGTAGCAAATGCAGCCTTTGTTTGATTTCCAGTGGAAAAGCGAGGTCAGGAATACGAACGTGGGAAAGATAATCGTGTCAAAGATTTTGTTTGGAAAGTTACTGTTTACTTTCCTATGTAGCTCAGGTGCATCTGCTTAGAGAGAAAGAATAGAAACATCAGAATAAATGGCATTGTAAACTATAGATTAAAAATCAATTATGCTCTCAGAGGAGAGACACAGATCACCTTGCGCAGTTAACTGATAAGCCTCCAAAGCAGAGCCCGTCACTGTGAAACTGAAGAGTAAATTCACAGTCGACCAATAGGTAGATTCTGCCATTTCCAGAGCCACTCCATTGATCTCTGTGGCTTTGCTCACAGAGCTGGGTGTGAGCCACTGTGAGTAGGGAGGGCGAAACTGAGCTTCAAGTGTGGAAAACACAAGGATGCAAATATTGACTACAGCATCACAGAGCGTGCAAACAAACTACATCATTGGTCTAGACATTGGGGTAGGTTGCTGCTGGTCCTTGGGCAGATGTGAAGGTCCAGGTCAGAGGGCCATACAAAGGACCTTTCTTTCCCTTCTTTTAGCCCTCTCTTACATGTTTAAGAGCCATACACACTTTGAATCCAACAGACCAGACCCTCACCTGGGGCCTGCTCCATTCAAATCAACACTGGCTTACTCCCGCTCAGGTTCTGGCGGCATATAATTGATGATCCCATAAGCCTCAGGTGGGAAACAATCTCTTTATTGTCCCTTCACCCCAAGCAGAGACCCAGCATGACCCCTTCAGTTCCCAGGGCAAGCAATCAGGCCTACCACACTACTGCATTCTCTGCTACGGGACAAAGATGGCTTCCTCTGAGCAAATACAAAATCATAATGGGAATCAGAATTTGATCCACAGAGCTTAAATGGGACATAGAGGCCCTTCTTCAGATAACATTTCCCTATTCTTAAAACCATCAGGGACCAATATTCTAGCCACAGTCCTGATATTCAAATTCAGACTCTGAGTTGAATACTCAAGTGGCATCAAGTTGTATTACACAAAAGTGCCAAGGGATTGCACATCACTTCTGGGCCACCAGTAGAGCATCTGTGGTGCACAGCAACCCATGCTTCCCCCCTCCCAGCCAGGGGAACTTTGCCCCAGTATCCCATTGTCTCTACCTGTGTATTTGATCATCATTTTTCCCTCCTGCCTAGGGGGCTATGCTGAAGATTCCCTTCTTACCAGAGCCCGATGCTATGGGCACCTCGGCCAGAAGAAAACGGCTATTTTTGATTTTAATGCCATCCTGAAGGAGGACCCGGGCAATGCACAGGCTCTGAGTGGACGGGGATTCATTTACCTTGCACTGAACCAGCAGAAGGTATTGTTGCTAAGTTGACTTCCTATGATTCCTTCAGACTTTTTGTTTTCACTGGCAGGCATTGGTATGCAATGCCCGTCCTTACATTTGTTAATATATTTTCACTGTGTGACAATGGTGTAAGACACGGATGTCAAAATCCCTTGGCTGTGCAGGCTGGATGAGTGGTGCAGGTCCAGTCTGCAGGCTGAGCCAGACCCACAGACTGGCTCCATATTCCAGTACGTATCCTGTAGTGGCCAGAGTGGGCACCATATATGGTTCAGTCCTGCTCTGGCCACTCCAGAACCATGCTGCACATCCCTGGGAACTGCCAGCATTGGTGCGATGCACTGTGTGGCCCCTGGAGCCACTGGCATTATTGCTGCCACCACTGCTAGGCTGTGCTACCCATCCCTGGGAGCCACCACCACTGGGCTGTACTGCCTGGCCCTGGGAGCCTCCACCACTTCTCCAGAGTTGTGTTGCATACAGCAGCCAGTCCACTGCTCTGGGACATGAGCTGAAGCAGGTGCAGCATTCAGTGTATGGGGCCATCTGGTACACCCTGTATGCTGCCTGTGGGTCACTCTGAAATTTATGGGTAGCACCAGAGCCTGGATGACATGACTCTATGGGCCAGATCCAGCTCACAGGCCATATCTTTGACACACTGTGTTAAAAGAAAGCACTGGGAAAAAAAGGAAGGCAGCAGTTGATGCCAAAGTTTGATAGGTCCATCTCCATCATGTCTGCAAATAACATCTGCTGATGGTCAGTGTTATGTCACCCATGAAAGATTGCAATGGATGGTTTCCCTGCAGTCATGTAGCATATCAAGCCTTTGCAAGTGTCCTCTGCCTACAGCAAATGACCCAACACTGCATCTTAGCAACATTGGTGGTATTGAATGGCCAGCATAAATGGCTGTAAATCCACTGAATTCAATGGTGCTAGCTACGTCAGTTAATGTGTCCCGTGGACCTGGACTATTGGGCTCTACTAATTTTTTCCTAGGGAACCCAGTGATAAATCCAAGAAAACCTCATCAGCTTGAGAAGTTTTATTTTGAATTTGCACCAAAAGAACAACACAGAATCTGTCTCCTTGTTTTCATATAGCAGCTCTTTCTTACTCTTACTTGCTTAAAAGCCTGAGGTCTAAATGTGTTTTCCTGCCTATGCCAGGATTATTTTCCTCTATCTATTTATCCTGTGTGCAATTATTTTGGCATCTGCAGTGCATTTCTCACTTACTTTCCACAACGTGGGAGTTACCTCATTTTCCTCCAACATTTTATTGTGTTTTCATTAACTCTTGGAATGTTTCTCTGTTGTTCTTGAATGGTGCTCAGAGTCGCATAGCAGGGAAGCACTTTATAAATGACACTATTATATCTGAGCAATGATAAACTCTCAAATTGGATTCCCAAACCCTGTCAGGCTGTTGGCTATATTGCTCCTGCAGTATTCATGTGAAAGATCAACTAATAGTACTTAGCAAGTCAAAAACCATGGTCTGTGTTTTGGGAATGGAAATTGAATATTCTCATATTAGGAAATTAAGATCCAAACAGTAGCTTGTTCTTTTCCAACCAACCGCAACCCAGCAGCTGAAATTCATCGCTATGTAATGATAACACAAGGTTCAGATACTGCCTACATCCAGGGTTCAAATTACAGTTTGACTCTTGGGGGTGGCAGGGCCTGCAAAAAAAATTAGACAGAGTTGGGGCTGTGTTTACGGGTCCCTGCCAGTACTGTGGGGCTGGGGCCAGTGGCAGTGGCAGCCAGAAGGAGCCACCACTGCCACCTGAGCTGCTTAGAAAGGCATGGGGCAAACCAGGGACTGTCCACAGTGGTGCATGGGCTCTGGGCTGTTGCGTGGATGTGGGGGGAAGGGGTATTGACAGCCTTGCGTGAGGGTTCTTGTTTCTTATGGGGGGGCTGAGCCCCCCCAAGCTCCTCCATACTTCAAAACCTGCCTACAACTCACCCAAATGTTATTTTTTGGACCTGGAAAATGCACAGGCTTTGTACTGGCTCTGTGCACTGGGTGTGTTTTGCCCATTGTGGGCATTTGTCTGTGATGCATATGACTTCCAGGCCATTTCTTTCATGACCAGCATAGCAAAGTCTCAGCCATTTGCTTCTTGCTTTATAGTCCCACAGCATCTCTATAGAGTTTTGCAGAATAAAATATGTTGGGTACTAAGCAGATGGATCAAAGAGGTGGTATAGTAAGGTGACATACCATGAGAGGCCCTCTCTTAGATGACATCTCCTATAGTGGGGAAAACCTGAAGGACCATTCATGTACTCTAAAGACCCATCAGCTCTTTGTCAAGGTCTTGTGCTTATTGGAAGGGCTGAGTGTACTGGGTAACCATTGGTCTGGGCTGACACAGACAATATCCACGCAAGACCCATACATGTTATCCAACTAATATTGCTTACTAGGAGGGACCCCATCTGCTGGTACAATGATTCAGTCGTCATGTCCTATTCAGTTCTTTCTCCCACTGCTGAGACTGCCAACAAAGGGGCTCCTTGCACATGCAAATGCACATTCACTTCATTTGGGCTGCCAAATGGGCCTCATATGGTTGACTAGGAACAAGTTAAACATTCTTAACTAAGGACTGAGAATAGGGGTCCACCGATCCCTGGACACCATGGGAATCTTGCCACTGATTTCCCTAGGTTCTGAATCAGCCTTTCAATGAAATTCCTCCAGCAGATTGTTCACACAAGGACATCTTGGTTTTTCAACTTGTTTCCTACTTGTACAGGGCAGAAGTTTCCTATAACAAAAATTACAGCTGAATCCTGTGGCTAGTATCAGAGCTTGATGACCAAAACCTAGGCATCTGTCCTCTTTTGGATGAACTGAGAAGGAAAAGCAGAATGTTATGCACTTCTGATGCATACAGATTTACTTCTTCCTGCTGTCCCCACTGTTGAGGATCATCCTGTAAAGAAGGCCACTTTGTTGTTCTCCTCCACATCCCTTCTTAAGGCATCCTTTGCTCTGATGCCAACAGGAAAACTAGATACCCTTCAGTTGCTGGTGAGCTGAAACCATTGGCTACCATGCTAACCTGTCCTTTGTCTCCTTGTGCCTCCCCCTTCCCCCCGAGCACTGTAAACATACCCACATTTAGACTGGAAGCTTCTTGGGGCAAGGACTGAGGTAGTGTGATCTTGGTCTGTGAAAAAGTGGCTCAGACACTACAGTAATACACACAACTAATAATCCTTTTCGTGAACAGATCTTTGGCTGCAGGGAGAAGACTTACCTTCCATCAACATTTACGTGAGCAAAATTTTATTCGTGTGAATTCTTGTAAGACCAAACACAAAAAGGGAGATGGATATGGTACATATGTTTTGTACTAGAATTCAGAGAGATGTTCACAGATCATTTTTCCTTTGACTTACCCTGGCCTTTCAGTGATTAGCACTTGCCTTTGTATTTAAGTGGCAGAGAGAATTTGCACTGGGGGTCCTGGTTTGATTGCATCTCTGTTTTCAGTTGGGTGCTTCACAATATCCAGGTACTTGCTTAAATCAAACTCCTCTAAGCAGTCATTCTATCTTTGCACAGTGCACAGTGCCTAGCTCAGTGGGATGCTGGTCTCTGATGGAGATCTTTAGTCACTGCTGCAGTAATAATAACTACATTTAGCTGAGTTTTATTATTAACACATTTTTACCACTCCACTAATCAGTGGCACAGAAAGGACAAAATGACCAAAGTCAGACTCTTACTCAAGCCAAAGTTTGCATACCAAAATCATATCCGAATGATCCTTTTCAAGTTTAGATACAAGGATGCATTTGTGACTTCCATCAACTGGAGTATCAGGATAATTTGTATTCATGTAAACAGAGCAATTTGCAATATTAACATATTTTGGTTTATACAGCATAAGCTCTGTTATACGGCATGAGTAGGGAATGGGGGGTGCCAGTAATCTAAACATGCTGGTTACCTGAGGCAGGGGTTTTTGATCGGATGCAGAGTTGTGGGGAGGGTAGCGGTGGCCGCATGCAGAGCAGTGGCAGCACAGGGTGGTGGGTGGTGGCAGAGGCCGTGCGCATGCTTCTCCCGCCCACTGCAAAATTCAAGTTAGTGGAGCGTGCCAGTTACGAAAATGCTGCTTAACACAGTTTTTACTGTACTTAGCTTTTAAATAACTCTCTCCAAGATTTTTACAATATCTCAGTGGAGTTAGACCCCTGTAGAACATTTATTTAAAAAAAAACCACTTTACACATTCAAAACACTGCACAGATATTACTAATTAACCCCTAGTTACATTTCCAGTCAATGACAGAGATGGAAACAGAACCCAGAGTCCCTGACCCCTTTCTGTGATTACTATGCAGGTGCCCACTTCTGATTTTTAACAATTCCCCTTTTTGCCCTCATGATCCCTCTTTGAAAACACATGAATTATACCTTAGTCATGGATACAGATACTATGCCTCAGAAACACCCATCTGGCCTTAGTGAAATCATATAAAAAGTGAAAAATGACCATGTCAGGAAATAAACCAGAAGATATTAAGCTCCCTGAAAGTGATCCACGGTGTTCATGTTTATTTTGGCTTTAAGAACACCAATCAAACCAAGCAAAAACCTTTCTCAAGTGAATAAACATGGGGAATATTGCATGACATTCATTAAAAGCAGGTTTAATATCCTTTGACTTTGCAAACAGTTTGTAACCACAATCATCCAAGCCTTGGATGGTTTATGTTATGGGTATATGATTTCTCTTAGCAATTTTAAAGGGTCTTTTTAGCCAATAGTCCTGTGTTCTTTAAACAAGTCCCAGTTCTAACTAGCATGTGAGGATCTGGTGACTTCCCTTCCACCACATTTCCTATGCTCACAGGTGTTTATATTTTCAGAGTCTCATAGTTTCATAGTTTGTAGGGTCAGAAGGGACCTGAGCAGATCATCGAGTCTGACCCCCTGCCATGGCATGAAAGAGTACTGGGGTCAGTTGAGAG